ACACAGACAGTCGCCCGAGGCTGGAATCGAACCCTGGTCCCTGGCACTGTGACGCAGCAGTGCTAACCACTGTGCCACACGTGCTGCCCTGTACATTCATAGACTTTTCTGTACTTTCATAGAGTTTTACAATAGAATAATATAAACAAGCTCCAGTTTAGAAGGTCAAGGAATTTTTTTTTCAGCTTAAGGGAAACACCCATCATTTAGAGGGAGAGTTCTACATTAAGTTTTGAGCAGTGCTGTGCAGTCCATTGGTGTAGTGCTTACATACCTCTGTTCTCTTGTGAGGGAAAGGACGTAATCAAACTTGATTGTTTTAGAGCAGAGTTAATGTTGGGCTGAGATACAAGTGCTGGGTAAAAGCTGAAGGGTCTACTTGAATCTAAGCATGTTCAAGTTAGATGCATAAAAAGTTCCAGAAATAAGTTATATGCAATTCCAGTCTAAAAGTTGAAGTCACAAGTGCCTTAAACCTATAGATATGTGAGAGACAAGGCTGCTGGTGTACTGCATGAGTGATGTTTTGGGTATTATGCACAGTGTGTTTTTGCATGTTGTACTAGAGCGTGTTTTCAGTACTATACAAAAGTTACTTCTCTTTTCAATTTATAAAGGTGTGTTTTGGGATGAAAAGGATTATACTTGCACTGTGTGCTGAAAAATTTTTGAATTTGAATTAGAAGTATTTAATTTGGCTCATTTTATTTTACCATTTCTTTTCTTAATAATGTTCTGTTTTATTGTTAAAGCAAGATGTGAGATATTGCATTCTTTTGATTCAGCAAGACACCACTTTGTTAAAGCTAAAACAAAGCAAAATATGATCAATTAGGTTTCACTCTAGGGTCTGACTTGTCCAATACCTAATACCAATTTAGATCATAATATTTGCTCCTTTGTTAGTTTTAAGTCTTTCAGTTTCAGGAAACTATTTCGAATTTATTCAAATATCTATCTATTTTCTTGCCTGCCTTGTTCACTCCCAGTCACATTAAAACTTTTAAATAGCACTGAAACTGTTATTTATACAAGTAGATTTAAAGAAGATGATTGAAGGATTGAAATGCTATCAGGTCACATGCACTTAATCTGATGTTGTAATGGTATACTGAAGGAACAATGTATTATCATAGCAGTTAATTTTCCAGTAACTATTCAGTTGGGTTCCCATTACCGTGTTTCAATAATTCATGTGGGAACAAATGATTTCATGGCAATTGTTGAATAACAACAGGATGTATTGGCTAACAAATTTCCTTTAACTAAGACTGTGAAAAATAGATAACAGGACATTTGTTTTTTTTTTGAATACAACGTAGCTGCTGCTACTGCATGTCCAGTGGTCATTAAGAAGCTAGAAGTAAAAAATTTCTTACCACTTCATACAGTCCTTCACAATTACCTCATCCCGTACATATGAATGCCCACCATATTCACACGAACAATTGTCAGGGTGAACACAACCTTTTCCCTCATCCAGCACCAGACCATCCGGACATATACAACCAGATACACATTTTGTTGTTAACTGAGGAAATTGAATCGAATATAATGGAAAATAATTAACTTAAATTGTACAATATACTGCATGAAGACAACTTTCATTGTTTAATCAGATATGTTAATCATACAAAATATTTGCCTACTTACACATTGACCTTCTGCAGCAAGCATCTGACATGTTTGTGCACATGCAGCTCCATATTCACTTTCTTGTGCATTTTCACAGTTAAAGTAAACTTTAGGAGGATAGCAATGTTCTGAAAAGAAAGGCTTGTTCATCAGTTTCAAAACATTTCTGTGCTACACTGTTCAAATATAGTTATTTTCCAATTAAATATTGAATTATGTGCATAATATTCAAATGTACATATCTTATACTAAACAATTTCCAGAGACATTTACACAAGAATAAATATCAAGAACAGACATCAGGGAGAGACGGTGAGAAGAGGGGATAAACGGATGATGACACATAATTGTAACTGTGCTCATTTTAAAATTCATATACTCTGTCTTTATTTTTATACATTTATGTTATAAATTCCTACGTAAAATGATCACACTGTAATTATACCTGACAGTAGTTGTGGTGCTGTTGTAACTCAACAGACTCAAGTGTTAAGTACAGCATACAAAATTAATATTGGCAGTTTCCAATACAAATATTAACATGGGAATTATAAAATGATATAGTTGTCAGGAATTGGACACAAACATCAACTTTTATTATATTATAAGTTGGCTTCCTGTGAGCTAGAGCCAAGAACTGAAGACAATGCTTTGTCTTCTGATGAACAAAGATTAGAAGGCAAGGGGCAAAGGGGCCAGGATATCCTTGTGTAATTTATTTGTCATTTAAAGATATTATATTTGTCCTTATTTCTATATAACATGTAAAGAAAATTTAATGCAATTTGGAAGGCAAAAAAGTAGTGTGAGATGGACTACTGAAGTTTCTCCAGTACAGGCTGAAGAGTTTGCAAGTAAAATTAAGATGCATCAGCACCTCAATTAGGAAGCACGATAAATCTACCTAACAATACCTATAACAAAAATGAATAGAGAAAATAATGGAAAAATTTGACACCAGGAAGAACAACACTTAAGATTATCAACTTAATATTTATGTTACTTATTAAATTCAGAAATTTAATGAAATCTCTATCAATATTCTGTAATGGAAATCAAACTATAAATGTATTCTTATTTGCACACAACACCTCTTATGCCCCTCGAGGACATGTGTAATGTGGTCAGATGATATACGTTGAAATCTTATTCACAGTTAATTTATAGATAGTTGAGAAAGGTTTTCAAGGTGTAACTAGTTGCAGGCTATGTCCAATAGGTAAGGAAATAAAGTTAAGGGCTAAAATTTCTATTCAAGGCAAGTGTTTTGCTTTAAAAGCAACCCCGCAAACTTCCAAGTGTGCCTTTCCTTTCCATTAGACATTTTTATATCCCCTTATGCCTAGGGTCTTAAAAGGAAGTGAAAGCAGAGATAATGGGTCCATTGATTATTATATTCCAAAACTTCCTGGATGCAGGAAAAGGAAGGAGGCAGAAAGTAGGAAACTACAGACCAGTTAGTTTAACATGTGCCATCAGAAAAAATTTGGGAAACTATTATTAAGGATGAAATAACAGGACATTTGAAAAGTCAAAATACAATTAATCAGAGTCAACATGCCCTTATGAAGGGTAAATCATATTTGACTTATTGTTTGAAGATGTAAGAAGCAATCCAAATAATCAGGATCCTGTAAAATGTACATCTGGGCTTCCAGAAGGTATTTGATAAGTAGCTGCACAAAAGGTTAATACACAAGATAAGATCACATTAGGTTAGCACTAATGTATTAGCTTGGATAGAGAATTGGCTAATCAACAGAAAGCAGTGAATGAGGATAAATAGGTCTTTTTCTGGTTGGCAAGATGCAACTAGAGGGTGCCACAGGGTTTGGTCTTCGGGCCTCAACTATTTACAATCTACATTAATGACTAGGATGGAGGGATAAAAAGTATGATAGCCAAAATTGCAGATCATGCCAAAATAGGTAAGACAGTAAATTGCAATGAAGAAGTAAGAAATTTACAAATAGTAATAGATAGGCTAGGTGAATGGCTGAGATTTGGCAGATGAAGTTTAACGTGGTTAAGTGTATGCCATGAATTGCAGAAAAATTGCAGGTTCAGCAGGTAATAAGGAAAGCAAATGGAATTTTGGTATTTATGGCTAAAGGAACAGAATATAAAAGTGGAGAAGTGTTACTGCAACTGTACTGGGCAGTAGTGAGACTGCACTTGGACTACTGCATACAATTTTGGACCCCTTACTTGAGTTGGAATATAGTTGTATTGGAGGCAGTTCAGAGGAAGTTCATTAGATTCATTGCAGAGATGAGGGGTTTGTCTTATGAAGGGAGATTTAGCAGTTCATACTTATAATCTCAGGAGTTTAGAAGAATAGGAGGAGATCTAACTGGATCAAGGATGGACGAGGCACCCGAGTCATGGCAGGAAGGGGGTCACAGAGTAGGATCGCAAGGAGGGCAGCCAGAAGCAAGGGCGGGACTGGTTTTAAGTGGTCTTTCATCACCAACAGTTACCTCAATCCTGCCATCCTGTTATAAAAAAGCTTTCCAGGCTCCCTCTAATGAGGTCTAACAAGCCATTTAAATCATATTAAGAAGACAGCTACTTCCATTTCCTCAAATGCATGGGCAATAGACAATAAATGATCTTCCAGCAATGCCCACACTCCATAAATGAATAGAAAAATTATTATCATAGAAACTCATGCACTAATCATAAGACCATAAGAAATAGGAACAGGATAAAACCATTTGGCATCCCTCATGCCTCCTCCGCCATTCAATAAGGTCATGGCTGATCTGAAGACACACCTCATGTCCACTTTCCCACCCTTTCGCCGTAACCCTTGATTCCCTATCTCAGCCTTAAATATCACAAGCACTTTGCCCTCATGGCCCTCTGTGACAAGGTCTTCCAAAGATTCTCAACCCTCTGAGAGAACTCACAGACTCTCCCATGACAGGAAACATCCTCTCAGTATTTACCTTGTTAAACCCCTTAAAAATCATATATGTTTTAATGAGACAGCCTCTCATTTTTCTAAATTCCAACATGTCGAGTCCCATCTGTTTAACCTTTGCTCACAAGATATTCCTTCTCAACCGAGGATTATACTAGTGTGCAATTGATAAAATATTTTATATACACCGATAATTATACAGATATTTCAGGGATTATCTTCTCTCCTCTCCTCATACTTATGACATACTTCCCGCCTTTTCCAATCCTCACGCTGCTCCATCTCCTTGTTCCTCCTTCTTCGTTGCCGCTTCCTTGACATCCTCTAAACTGCTTCAACCCAAGACACTCCAGTTAACTACACATTTTTCTAGTTGGTATGATATACACCTATATAATTACTCAAATATAATTAAACACTGAGACATCTTTGCTCTTACCTTGAGGGTCCTGACCGGTGCACTTGAGGTTCCCATTCTCACACACACTGTCAGTAAAAGAAAGAACATCAATTTACTTTTATTAACAATTAGATTTTTTTGCAAATGTTCATTCCAAGTTTAATTTTCAGCACATGATTCTTATGATAGAAGAATTAAATGTTAAGTGCTGAGGCTTATGGTAATCCTGTCACCTCATCTCACCAGCCTTGTAATCTAAGGCTATCCTTTGCACAATTTACCACCCTACCAATTTTTGTATCATCCACAAAGTTACCAATCAATCCTCCTACATTCAAGTCTAAACCATTTATATGTACTGCAAACAGCAAGAGGGCCAACAATGAGCCCTGTGGAACCCCACTGGGCACAGGCTTCCAGTGACAAAATTATCCCTCGACCATTACCCTCTGCTTCGTGCCACTCAGCCAATTCTGGATCAAACTAGCCAAATGTTCTTGGATCCTGTGGGCTCTTACCTTCAATATCAGTCTCCCATATGGACCTCGCCATAACAAAGCCATGCTGACTGTTCTTAATTAATCCCTGCCTCTCCAAGTGTAGATTAGTTCTGTTCCTTGGATTTGCTTCCAATACTTTTCCCACCAGAGTTTAAACTGATTGGCCTGTAGTTTCCTGGTTTATCCCTTGCTTCCTGTCAGTCATTAGATGTCTATAATCAGACGTGTGAGCAGATAATTTGTGGGGAGTGTCACAAAGAAAGCACCATTTCATTAATGTTGCCCCTGAGCCCTTACAACATCACACAAAAATCACATTGATGCAATGTACCATGATGGCTGCACAAGCAGGCCAATGTCATGTCTCAGAGTTCAGAGGATTAGTAACCTTATCCATAATTACGCTGCACAACCAAAGTATTCATACTACACCAGGGGAATGAAATTTAGGCACCTTGCATATCACAGACTGTCTGCTTGCATTTCAGTGTGCAAATGGTGACTCTGAAGCACTGTCTACCACTGAAAACTATGAAATGTGTTTTATACAAGCCAAGCAGAGGTGACAGTTTTAATTCAGGTTATCTAGTTACGAGGAGGCAAGACATGTAAACAATGTAATGACCATGATTGCCAAATTTTCCCAACGTTCTTACTGTTGCCCTTACTGCTCCAGCAGCGTAAATTTCCCTACACTTTTATTTTAAAGTTAGAGCAAACATGAGTTGCCCAAATCAGTTTCCAACTTTCTGATGTCCAAAATGTGGCATTCCCCCAGACAATTCTAGCTCTTTCGATCTCTGCATGCTCTTAGATTGCCTGTCACCAGACTGCAGCACATCTTTATCTATCTTTTTTGCCTTTAATGTGTTGAACTTCTAACCTCAGCATCTTCACGTCAGGGGATGTAAAACATCACCAGAACTGCATGTCAACAAACAAGCCTTCAGGTTCCCCAGTACCAAGCCCATAAAAACTGTGAAAAAAAATCAAAGTAAAACTAGATCTCCATTTCTTAACACACAAATTAAACTTAAAGTTATACATTGTTCTTAACAATTTGACCTTTCATCAGAACTGCAAAAATATAGAAATCTTCTCTGTTCCTCGTATCCCATAAACAGAATTAATTTAATGCTATAATAAAACAAAGAACTGTGGATGCTGAAAATCTGAAATAAAAACAGAAATTGCTGGCAAAACTGGGATGGATCAGAACAGTTCTGATGCAAAGTCAATGGACTCAAAATATTAACACTGCTTTTTCCCCACAGATGTTTCCACACCTGCTGACTTTCACCAGCAATTTCTATTTTTGTATTAATTTCATAGAACATAGAACATAGAACAGTACAGCACAGTACAGGCCCTTCGGCCCACCATGTTGTGCCGAACTTTTACCCTAAACCTAAGGTCTATCTAACCTCCACCGCTACCTTATACTATCATCCATATGCCTATCTAATAGCCTCTTAAGTGCCCCTAATGAGGCCGACTCCGCTACCCTCTCCGGCAATGCATTCCACACCCCTACCACTCTCTGAGTAAAGAACCTACTTCTGACGTCTCCCCGATATCTATCTCCTTTCACTTTAAAGCGATGTCCCCTCGTAAAAGCTACCTCCACCCCAGGAAAAAGTCTCTGGTTGTCTACTCTATCTATACCTCTGATCATTTTGTACACCTCTATCAAGTCACCTCTCATCCTTTATCGTTCTAAAGAGAAAATCCCTAGCTCTCTCAACCTATCCTCGTAAGACCTTCCCTCCATTCCAGGCAACATTATGGAACATATCCATGTTACTGAAGTATTCTCAAAATGATCCCATTAGCAATCATAAGCTATTTAACCAAATAATACAGAACCTGAATTGTTTTTGTAACTTTTTATAAACCAGCAAGTTCATTGTCTAATTAGGAGTTCAACAGTACATTACTTTACTTACCATATTCCACCGTAAAGATTTATTTTCTCATTGGCATGTGCAATGACAGTATGAGCCAGGAAACATGGACATTCAGCTGCACTGACACATTTTCCAGTGTCATCCAAGTAAGTGTGTTCTGGGCAGTTGCAGCCGTCCACTGGAGCATCACTTGCACTGCACTCAAAATTTGGATCAGACAACGACAAACAAGTGCGATTACAAGCTCTAGAGTCATAACTGAAGGTCTGATTGTGAGGACAAGAAATTCCTGGAAATAAAAACCAAGATTTCAAACAATGATATACATACTGGTTCATTAATTGATCAATCAAATTATCATAGAACATAGAACATAGAACATTACAGCGCAGTACAGGTTCTTCGGCCCTCGATGTTGCGCCAACCTGTGAAACCAATCTGAAGCCCATCTAACCTAAACTATTCCATTATCATCCATACGTTTATCCAATGACCATTTAAATGCCCTTAAAGTGGGCGAGTCTACGACTTTTGCAGGCAGGGCATTCCACGCCCTTACTACTCTCTGAGTAAAGAACCTACCTCTGACATCTGTCCTATATCTATCACTCCTCAACTTAAAGCTATGTCCCCTCGTGCTAGCCACCACCATCCGAGGAAAAAGGCTCCCACTGTCCACCCTATCTAATCCTCTGATCATCTTGTATGTCTCTATTAAGTCACCTCTTAACCTTCTTCTCTCTAACGAAAACAGCCTCAAGTCTTTCCTCATAAGACCTTCTGTCCATACCAGGCAACATCCTGGTAAATCTCCTCTGCACTCTTTCCAATGCTTCCACATCCTTCCTATAATGCAGCGACCAGAACTATACGCAATACTCCAAGTGCGCCCGCACCAGAGTTTTGTACAGCTGCAACATGACCTCATGGCTCCGAAACTCAATCCCTCTACCAATAAAACCTAACACACTGTACGCCTTCTTAACAACCCTATCAACCTGGGTGGCAACTTTCATGGATCGATGCACATGGACACCGAGATCTCTCTGCTCATCCACACTACCAAGAATCTTACCATTATCCCAGTACTCTGTATTCCTGTTACTCCTTCCAAAGTGAATCACCTCACACTTTTCCGCATTAAACTCCATTTGCCACCTCTCAGCCCAGCTCTGCAGCTCATCTATGTCCCTCTGTAACCTGCAACATCCTTCCGCACTATCCACAACTCCACCGACTTTGGTGTCATTTGCAAATTTACTAACCCATCCTTCTATGCCCTCATCCATGTCATTTATAAAACTGACAAACAGCAGTGGCCCCAAAACAGATCCTTGAGGTACACCACTAGAAACTGAACTCCAGGATGAACATTTCTCATCAAGCGCCACCCTCTGTCTTCTTACAGCTAGCCAATTTCTGATCCAAACTGCTAAATCACCCTCAATCCCATGCCTCCGTATTTTCTGCAATAGCCTACCATGGGGAACCTTATCAAACGCTTTACTGAAATCCATATACACCACATCAACCGCTTTACCCTCATCCACCTGTTTGGTCACCTTCTCAAAGAACTCAATAAGGTTTGTGAGGCACGACCTACCCTTCACAAAACCGTGTTGACTATCCCTAATCAAATTATTCCTTTCTAGATGATAATAAATCCTATCTCTTATAATCCTTTCCAATACTTTACTCACTACCGAAGTAAGGCTCACTGGTCTATAATGACCAGGGTTGTCTCTACTCCCCTTCTTGAACAAGGGGACAACATTTGCTATCCTCCAGTCTTCTGGCACTATTCTTGTAGACAATGACGACATAAAGATCAAAGCCAAAGGCTCTACAATCTCCTCCCTAGCTTCCCAGAGAATCCTAGGATAAATCCCATCCGGCCCAGGGGACTTATCTATTTTCATACCTTCCAGAATTGCTAACACCTCCTCCTTATGAACCTCAATCCCGTCTAGTCTAATAGCCTGTATCTCAGTATTCTCCTCGATAACATTGTCTTTTTCCTGTGTGAATACTGACGAAAAATATGCATTTAGCGCCTCTCCTATCTCTTCAGACTCCACGCACAACTTCCCACTACTGTCCTTGACTGGCCCTAATCTTACTCTAGTCATTCTTTTATTCCTGACATACCTATAGAAAGCTTTAGGGTTTTCCTTGATCCTACCTGCTAAAGACTTCTCATGTCCCCTCCTGGCTCTTCTTAGCTCTCTCTTTAGGTCCTTCCTGGCTAACTTGTAACTCTCAAGTGCCCTAACTGAGCCTTCACGCCTCATCTCTACATAAGCCTCCTTCTTCCTCTTGACAAGAGATTCAACTTCTTTAGTAAACCATGGTTCCCTCGCTCGACCACTTCCTCCCTGCCTGACAGGTTCATACTTCTCAAGGACACGCAGTAGCTGTTCCTTGAACAAGCTCCACATTTCAATTGTGCCCAGCCCCTGCAGTTTCCTTCTCCATCCTATGCATCCTAAATCTTGCCTAATCGCCTCATAATTGCCTTTCCCCCAGCTATAACTCTTGCCCTGTGGTATATACCTATCCCTTTCCATCACGAAAGTAAACGTAACCGAATTGTGGTCACTATCACCAAAGTGCTCACCTACCTCCAAATCTAACACCTGGCCTGGTTCATTACCCAGTACCAAATCCAATGTGGCCTCGCCTCTTGTTGGCCTATGTACATACTGTGTCAGGAAACCCTCCTGCACACATTGGACAAAAACTGACCCATCTAAAGTACTCGAACTATAGTGTTTCCAGTCAATATTTGGAAAGTTAAAGTCCCCCATAACAACTACCCTGTTACTTTCGCTCCTATCCAGAATCATCTTTGCAATCTTTTCCTCTACATCTCTGGAACTTTTCGGAGGCCTATAGAAAACTCCCAACAGGGTGACCTCTCCTTTCCTGTTTCTAACCTCAGCCCATACTACCTCAGTAGACGAGTCTTCATCAAACGTCCTTTCTGCCACCGTAATACTGTCCTTGACTAACAATGCCACACCTCCTCCTCTTTTACCACCTTCCCTGATCTTACTGAAACATCTATACCCCGGAAACTGCAACAACCATTCCTGTCCCTGCTCTATCCATGTCTCCGAAATGGCCACAACATCGAAGTCCCCGTACCAACGCATGCTGCAAGTTCACCCACCTTATTCCGGATGCTCCTGGCGTTGAAGTAGACACACTTCAAACCACCTTCCTGCCTGCTGGTACACTCCTGCGACCTTGAAACCTTACTCATGACCTCACTACTCTCAACCTCCTGTACACTGGAGCTACAATTCAGGTTCCCATCCCCCTGCTGAATTATCAACCTTTAATGTATTAAAAGTTAGCTTCTGCAGCAAGATGAGGGCTGTAACTAAATAAATATTAAAAGGCTTTCTTGAGTACAACTATATTAAAGGTTGGCAAGAAAGGACATCTTCGGACACCCTAAAGACTTGGACTCCGTTCCATGCGATTTGGTGTATCCTGATATTATTAATAGTTTATTCCACAGCTTCTACTGTTACTTCTTATGGTATTTAGATATCACACATTTTCCAACATGTGGTTATCATCGCACTATTTCTGGCTTGCCTGTCTGCCACAATTAGACTCATGTGTTTATTTTATTTAGTCAAGACTAAATCCTCTAATATTGACATGTAATTTAAGTGGCACCATTACTTACTCAGCCAAGACCTTCCACATATCTCTAAGATCTCTGCTTGGCTCAAATCAAGAAACAATGAAGCGAATAGACCACCTAACACCCACCCAGGCACTGACAACAGCATGTTCAGTCCAAACAACTCAGCAAATATCTTCTGGTTAACATCTCAGCCGAAAACTGTGAGAACTGTCCCACAAACTAGTAAAACAACAGTCTGACGGTCATTGTTATCAACTTGTTTTTTAATTAGTTCACAGGATACAGGCATTGCTGGCTGGGCCAACATATACTGCCTGTTCCTATTGCTAAAAGTCAACCACACTGCAGTGGGTCTGGAGTCATATGTAGGTCAGACCAGGTAAGGATGGCAGTTTCCTTCCCTAAGGGACATTAGTGAACCAAATGGGTTTTTCTCAACAATTAGCAATGGTTTTACAGTCAACACTGGGCTCTAATTTCAGATTTTTTTAAAATTCAAATTCCATCATCTGCCAAGACAGGACTAGAACCCAGGTCCCCCGAATATTTCCAGGTCTCTGGATTACTGGTCTCATAATTATAACACTAGGCTATTACTTTACCTTACATCCAACGATCATCACTGGTTATGTCATGTTGTCATGTCCTGCCAGCTGTAAAGGGACAACCAACTGGCAGCTCACAGTATATAATAAGAAGGCAGATGTCATCACAGAACTGAACACCATTTCTGAACCCTATAAAGTCTCTTACCATAAGATTAAACATAGGCAATTCAACCTGCTACCCTCCATCAGCTTATGAGTACTCTTTCAAATTGAACATCCATAGAAGAAGCACTGAAGATAGAAAGGGCACAAAGGGTGGCTTGGTAGCGCAGGTATGGACTGAGTTGGCCAAGTTGTGACAGACAAAGCTGACAGAGAGCGTTACAGGAGGTGGTGCGTTATCAACAACAGGAAATTCTTACTTGACATCAGCCTCACGAATTTACCTGCCACAGATGCAAATGTCCTTTGGTCAGATGTATTGAGAGGGTAATCCATTTCAGCTGCCTCCTGAGATAGTTGTGGTTTTTAGAGGTTAATGATCTCAATACCAGGATATTGTTATAGCAGTTTCTCAGGGTAGTATCCTTCTTCAGTTTCTTCAGCAATTAACTACTCTCCATCATTATTTTAGAAATGAGGACATGGCTGATTATTTCATTGTTCAGTTCCATTTAGTACTTCTCAAATACTGAAGCAGTTGTGCTTGATATTCAACATGTTACTATTACTGAATTGCCCACTATGAACATCCTGGAGGTTAACCATTGGCCATAAACTTAACTGGAATATCCACATTAAACACAAGGCTACAAGCGCAGGTCAGAGATTGGGAATTTTTTAGTGAGTAATTCACCTCCTGAATCCCCAAAACCTGTTTGCCATTTACAAGCACAAGTCAGTAGTGTGATGGATTACTCTCCACTTGAATGGGTACAGCTCCAAAAATACTCAAATGTCCACTTAATCAGTATCCCATCCACAATCTTAAACATTCATTACCTCAACCACCAGTGAGAGGCTAGTAGTACAATAAGATGCACTGCAGCACATTACTAAATCATTTTCCACAGCACTCTG